AAAGACGCAGTAGAGATACACAAACGAATCCAATGGACGAACTCGCTTGGTATTTGCAGCGCCTTTAGGACTGTCAACAGGAACCCCCATTGAACCATATCAAATGCTTTGGAAATGTCGATTTTCAAAACGCATCTAGAGGAAATAGAATCCTTATGATATCCATCGACAAGTTCAGTCGCTAAAAGGAGATTCTGTATTAGCAATCGGTCCTGCACAAATGCGGATTGGTTCGAAGCAATAAAGTTTGGGAGCAGACCTTTCAAGCGAGTTGCAAGAATCTTTGATATGGTTTTATAAATCACATTATAGCATGCGATCGGCCGATAATCCTTCATACTTTTTGCACCTTCTTTTTTCGGGATCAGAGCAAGGATAGTAGATTTGATTCCTTTAGGAAGAAACCTTTTAATGAAAAATGATTGAATGCTCACCACTAGGTCCTTTCCAATTAGCAACCAGTTTTCTTTAAAAAATTCTACCGTGAATCCATCAGGCCCCGGCGATTTGTTGGATGACATAGAAAAGATTACTTCCCTAATCTCCTGCTCGGTTACATCTTTCACAGACTCTGTTTCTACTCCGTAGAGCATCTATAGTCAATCAAATTCTCAATCTCGCTAACCGTCGTCGCACGCAGATCTTCCGGAACTATATTCAAGAAATCCCAAAAATGATTTACTGCAACCTCCTTAATCTCATCATCTCCCCTGATTAAAACCCCATCCGGAGACACAAGCTCTCTGATTCGATTTTTCACTTCCCGAGCTTTAACAGCCCTGTTAAAATATCTTTGTATTTTTATCTCCGACGTTCATCTAATGCAATTTTGATTTTTGTCGCATGAACTGTTCCTCTAGATTAGCCAATCGTTCCCATCGCTCATAAGCAAAACGTTCCTCCTCCTGAGCCACCTCACTCGGGTTTTGCAGAACTTGCAGTTGTTTGGTACACATGCTTTCATAATTGAGCAAAACTCTTTGCGAAATGTCACTCAGCTCCTCCCTTGCTATCATTGTAACTGTAGGTTTCAGATTTTTTAATTTCTTGGAGAACCTGAAAAGAGCAGACGTTGAATGAAATAATGGTGTTGTTTCATCCTAGTATTCCTTCAAAGCTTCCCTGAATCTTGGCATCCCCACAATAGCATTTGGAAACTTAAATGGCTTCTTTCTGACAGGTCTCTCTTAATTCACATAGAATCGGCATCTCATATGATATGAACAGCCCCCAGCATCAAACACACCATATGAATTTGAGTTATGATTTATCCAATGATCATTAACCAAGATCGTGTCCAACTTCTTGCAGATTAGACCCTCTGATCTCTTATTGCATCACTTCCAGACCCTCAGGTTGTACACCGTCAGTTATAGCCATCCTTTGAGTCTCTTTCGGGCTTTTTGGAGAATGTAAAATCCCATCACCCTCTTTAGCGACTGTTTCTTTCCCCTTCTGTATCGAACCAGCATCCCACTGGAGAATAATATTATCCCCCGGTTTTGCTCTGCAATCTTTGGTATCATGACCCCACTTGGTGAAAGAATTACACTTAGATGGCAACCATGGAAACTCGTAGTAAACAACTGCATCTAGACCCGAGCTAGACGTGAAACTGAACGATTCCGGAAGCTTTTTCTCTAGATTCACTTCCACAAATACCTTCGCCTCTTCAAAATTCGTAGCCCATAAAGTCTCAGGGTGAAGCTTCTTAGGTTCCTCCAAGGGGGTGGTTAAGAAGCTTAAACCTTTCCATGAAAACATCGCCTGAGGAACTCCCCGAACGACTACCCACATGGGTATAGTTTTTACTTCCGGTTGCGCTTCCTCCACTACCGGACTCCACTTCAAAACGATCATTGGAATATTCTTGATGCTCCACATACCTCGTCGGAGCACACGATTACGTATCGCAACATCATGAGTTTTAAACTTTATTGTTGTTTCATCGACCACAAAAACATCAATTTTAGAAGACTTGTCTCCCAAGTTCCATATCCTGTTCACCGTCATGTGTATGAATCCAACATGAAGGGCTTTAGAAACAAATTTTCCAACGATGCAATCTTCCCATAAGGGTGGCGCATTCTCAAACACTGAGTCAGGGACCCTGATTGTTTCCATTCCATTGATCTCTTCGACCACTACCGCATATTTTTGTAACCCTACTTTTGGCGAGACAAATGAGGACCACGATTTCCCATGATTCTGATTTGCCTGTCCCTCCACTCTCATCTCTTCCGATCCAGTTATCGCCGGAGATCCAACAACAGCTCCCATCAAAACTTCCAGCTGAGTCTCCGCCATGATCTCCTTGTAATCTCCTTTCTCCACTACTTCCTTTGAACCAGATCCATCCCTTTCCCGTACCTTCGACATCTCTCCTAACTCGCCTGCGATCCCCTCCCCCTCCTTCACCGGTGGAGACTCTTTCTCTGGCGCCGTCATGATAGCCGGCAGCCTAGCGTGGGCTAGACTCCAGTTGAAACCCTAGAAACTTTGTCGCCCTCCAGATCGCCTTTGCTGCTGATGTGGCTCTCCTTGTATGTGAGTTATCAACTATAACTAAATTTTGTGTGCTATTTTTTGCCCCTTATCATTTAATTAGCTTACATTTTATTTACATGTAATTTATTATATGAATCGTGAAAGCAGCAACCTTCTTCCCATAAATAACATACATACAGTTAAACCTCTATAAATTAATAATGTAGAACTGTAATATTTTATTAATTTATAGAATTATTAATTTATCAACCTGCGAGATCACCTTAAAAAATGGGTTCACATTCATTTACACCGCTGTTTATGGATCCAATCTGGAAGAGGAGAGAAGACAGCTTTGGATTTCTCCTGCAGACACTTACGCATCCTTCTCTTTCCAATCCAAACCATGGCTAATCTGCAGAAACTTTAACAAGATAATATCACCTGATGAAGCTTCTAACCCGAGCATTATCTCCTGAATTACTTCAATGTGTCGAATACGGGATTGTCTCTTGTATATTGGGTTATTCGACTTACCATCTCAGGGTTCTCTTTTCATTTGGATAAATAAGCGTCCATCAAACCCTCGAGTCATTGTTCATTTGAGCCCCCCTGAGTTTTCAGATCATACCCCTTGTCATATCAGGATGGTTACAAAGCCTCCCTCTTTCGGTACAAGACCATTTAAGTTTTTTTAACTTTCTTACAAAGCTCCCATCTTTTGCTGATCCGGTATCAAAAGCTTGGTCTGAGGTGGGTCCTGCGGCTGCTAACTGTGGTGATCTTGGATATAAGCTCCGCAGAATTAAGAGAGATCTAAAGGTTCTGTGTAGAGAAAATGCAATATTGAAAGAAGAGTGGCTGATGCGGCTGAAAATCTTTGCTCCCTGCAGATTTTTGTTCTGAATGACCCATCTTCATCAAATCTGGAGCAAGAGAAAATTGCCTCTGATCTGTGAGTTTCTCTCCGTTCAGCAGAAGAAAGCTTCTTCAACCAGAGATCAAAGGTGAAGTGGCTGGCTGAAGGAGACTCCAATACAACATTCTTTCACAACTACACAAAAATCAGGAATGCATCGAATGCTGTTAAGCATATTCTGAAAGAGAATGGTTCAAAAACTTCATCTCTCCAAGAGGTTCACGAACCTGCCGTGGAATATTTCTCTAGCTAACTTCATGAATAAAGTTAGAGGAGTAGTTTGCTGTGCCATTCCTGATTGTTTGCATGATCTCCAACCCCATTGTCTCAGCGCCTCGTCTGCTGCTGATCTTATTATACCTATCTCTTCGGAATTGATCAAAGACATTATGTTAATGCCTTTGGAGAAAACTCCAGGTCTCGATGGTTTCCTGGAGGAATTCTTCAGGGCTACTTGGGGGATTATTGGTGATGAGGTATGTGCCGCAGTTAAAGATTTTTTCAGTACCTCATTCATCCCAACAACACTAAACAATACTTCTCTAGTTCTCATTCCCAAGCAGCCTGGGGCTGAATCATTGTCAGAGTTTCGACCTATTTCCTGCATGAACATGGTTTATAAGATTATTTCTAGAGTTCTTGCAGATAGACTGAAGAAAATTTGACCAGTTCTGAAATCTCCGAACCAATCAGCATTCATGAAAGACAGATTCTTATTGGAAAATGTTATGTTGGCGTCTGAGGTCCTCCTGGGTTATTATAAGGATGATGACAAGTCAAAAATCACACTGAAAGTGGACATATCAAAGGCCTTTGATTCAGTAAGATGAGATTTTGTTCTCAGTGTGCTTCAGGAGTATAGTGCTCCTTCGACCTTCATTCAATGGATCAAGGCTTGTATTTGCTTGGCCTCATTCTCAGTCAGCATTAACGGTGTGACTTCAGAATACTTCAAGAGTAAATCAGGCCTCTATCAAAAGGATCCACTCTCACTAACATTGTTTGTGATGATCATGAATATTTTTTTCTAATGCTAAATAAGGCGGCAGATAGAGGTGTTTTTGATTATTATCAGGGTTGTCATGACCATAAACTCACTCATCTCTGCTTTGCTGACGACCTTTTGATTTTTCTAGATGGATCTGAACGCTTCCTTGATGGTACCTTAGCGATACTTTCTGTGTTTGAAAGGATCTCGGGTCTAGCGGTTAACATTGAGAAAACCTATATGTTTTGCTCTAGAGTATCAGAGGAAGCTCTTCAGCGCATTCACGCCAAACATAGCTCTCACCAAGTTGCCTCCCAGTCCGATATCTCGGGCTCCCACTTTGCTTGAAACATCTGTCTATTTCAGACTGTGTTCCTTTGCTTTCTCAAGTTAAAAACAAGTTGGATGGTTAGTCCTCTAAACTTTTAAGTATGGATGGAAGGCTTCAGCTCATATCTTCTGTTATCTTGGGTATCACTGGATTTTGGTCATCAGCTTTCCTTTTACCCCAGAAGGTTATAAAGAAGATAAACAGCCTTACCTCATCTTTGGCACAGCAGAACTGATAATCCCTCAGGTGCTAGAGTATCTTGGCAGGACATCTCAATGCCGAAAACGGAGGGTGGTTTAGGTATTCAGAACCTCTCCATATGGAATGAAACATGTGGCTTAAAGCAGATATGGATGCTCTTCTTCCACAGTGGATCAGTTTGGGTAGCCTGGATTCGGAAGGCCTATCTTTCTAGTGCAAGTTTCTGGTCCATTAATGAGAAGAGTCAGAGATTCTCTTGGATGTTTCAGAAGCTTCCAAGACTGAGGAAGAAAACTTTGCTATTCCTAAGTATTGATATTGGAAATGGAGAGGATTCTTTCTTCTGGTATGACCCTTGGACACCATTTGGCTCTCTCCTTAAATTTGTAGGCCCGAATGAACCTGCTCGGTTGGGAATTCCTACAGATGCTCTGGTCTCAGATCACATTTCAGCGAATGGGTGGATTCTTCCACCGTTGAGGCCAGAAGAGCATCTGCAGCTGTACACATTTATCTCTCAAGTGAGTCCTTCTGATTTTTCTGATTGTGCTATTTGGAAAATTGATGAGAAAATTCAGAACAGGTTCAAGTCTAAAGATGTTTGGGAGAGGATCCAAGTCCCAAACCAAAGGTTTCATGGTTTTCCTTGCTCTGGCATAAAGGGATCATTCCAAAACATGCTTTTACTACATGGTTGTTCATCCTTAATAGCAACCCGACTATGGAAAAGGTCTCCTCATAGGGGCTTGATATTAACAAAAGTTATCTGCTATGTGGTAAGGAGGAGGAATCGAGAGATCACCTCTTCTTTCAATGTTCATACTCTTCCGAAATATGGCAGAGGATTAATGTTTACCTGCAGTGCACTCTGCTCCTGCCTGTTGGAGTGATGCTCTCCTTTGGATTGGAAATGTGACATCTTTGAAATACCTATCTACTGCAATCATCAAGGTTACTGCAATCATCAAGGTTGGCAAGCTTCCATCTACGAGATTTGGTTGGAGAAAAATCAAAGATTCCACCATGGATTAACTCTTAACCCGCGTCAGCTTATCAGAAAAATCTTTACGGTGATTAGAAACAAGACGCAAACCCTTCTTCTTAAGGGATCCAAGTTCGGGAATGACCTGTCTAATGTCTGGAATTCCTCTTAACCTCTTTTGGTGATTTATCCTTCTCGACTGTAGGATATGATTGGTGGAAATTATTGTGCTAGATGATTTCTGCTATGCTATGTTTTTATTTCTTTTGCTCTGTACAGCTCTGGTTTTGGTTCATCTTTGATTCCTTGTATTTTGTAAATATTATTTATGTTTAAGTAAGCCCTTTAACCAAAAAAAAAAAAAAATTAATTTATCGATATAAAAATCAGTTTGAAAAACTAATTTAGGACATAAAAAAAATGTATTAATTTATCGAGGTATTAATTAGCTTTAAATAAAAAACGAAACAAAAATAATTTGTTATTAGTTAGTAAAAAATTTAAATAAAATGATTGAATAAAGAATGTCAATAATATATGATACATGGAAAATTTTCATATTATATATTTTCTATTTCTAATTATTGCTATATATATTGTGATTACAAAAAAATATAAAAAGACTAGGGGAACGTTTTAAAAATGAATGCCAAAGTTTTTGATATTCTAAATCACAAAGATTATATATATATATAATTATTTTTATATATATCATTTGCTATTTGTAATGAAAGTTGATTAATTTCATATATAACTTGAAGCCAATAGAGATACAAAACATTAAAATATACCAAAATTAATGGTTGTGAAATGTTTCCGTCCATGGAATTAGTGTATCATCCATAAAAAGTGATATACATTTAATTTTGTAAAATATGCTCTTACAATTTTCTTAATTACTTATCATCATTTGCTGCTCGAAGAAACCTAATCTTTCTGATTTTGCTATGGAAGTAGGCACTAATTCCTTTGTGTGGCTTTTAATGTATACAGACATGGTAATTATACCAAATTAGAGCACTTTATACATTTTTAAGAAGGTAAGCTTGGCAAGTGTATAAAACAAGAACACTATATACAAGCTACATATCTGTAATAGATTTTAAAAGTTCTTAACTTATTGAATTGACCGATGATTAAGGTCCCATTATTACAACAACAACACATACACAGCCACATTAACTTAAGTTTGATAAATTAAAAATAAAAGAAACATAAAATTACATATACATCGTTATGAGATCAAATGAATTTGATTTATTTAAATCGCTTCCCCTTAATTATTGTTGTTACCGATGAACTTAGAGAACCATTTGCCAGAAGCTTTTTCCCTTCGATGAGCAGGATTAGTGAAATTGACCCAATTCATACCAAACCGGAGAGTGTAACCATTTCCGAATTCGTAATTGTCCATCAATGACCATGCAAAATATCCTGCTACATTGCATCCATCCCTATAATATATTTAAAAATAATAATGTTGAAGTGTTAAAATTGGTACTTGTCAAAAGAGGTATATCGATATGAGACAAATTTTACGAATCATTTATTATAACTCACTCGATGGAGCATTTGAGACAAGAAAGATGGCTGCAATGATTTTGAATTCGTCCTTTATCGGCAAGAGCATTTGCCAGCGTTAAGTTTCCCAAATCAAGATCAGCAACTCCTGAAAAATTATAATACAAGATTGTATAGTCAAACACACATGCATTAAAGGTTCATTTACATTAATAAGCATATATATATGGTATGATATGTGTAATACCGTTTTCGGTGATGTAGGTAAGTGGGTTTTTATATTTGTTTTTGATGTAATTTAGAATCTGGCGGAACCCTGGAGGATAGTAGACGAAGCTTGGTGCCTGTAGATGGAGAGAGAGACTCATATAAATGTTGTAGTTTTCCAAATGTATTAATGAATATACCAAATTAAAGTCGATGCTGCTAACCTGAACACCAATAGGTACTCCATTGCGATAAACTGTAACCAATATATTGAAGAAAAGTGGGTTTAGAAAATTAATATATGTTTTAGATACGTAAGAGGACATAAATTTTTACGTACATCCAATAGTAACCCGTGGATCGGTTAAGACATTAGGTTGAGTCGGAATAGAAGGAGGTGCATCGGTCGCATATTGTGTAACGTAATAGTTCAGCCCTAGAAAATCAAGTGATCCTTTAACTAAAGCTGATTCTTGACGTGTGAATTTAGGCAATCTATCTCCAACGATCGTTTTCATTATCCTTGGATAGTCTCCGTACACCAATGGATCCAAGAACCTTCATGTTGCAAAGTATGTTGATTACAAAGGTTTTATAACATAAACTCTATATATAAATAATGAGTGTATATATAAATGATTAGAGAATCAAATTGTTGAGAATATATATGTACCATCCGACGAAGAAATCGAATGCTCGTTTTGCAGCAGCCTTGTCAAGAATGCTAGTTTCGTTTAATGGAGTGAACCATCTTCCGATCAGGGTCGTTCCAATTTTACCACCTTGGAATCTCTGCATGCATAAATTAAAAGTTTTTAATTATAGACTACAAACATACCATGTAAAAAACAAATCATCTCTATCGATCTGAGAATAAGCATATGATAAGTTGTGTATATGAACCTGATATCTTCTTCGGTATAAAGATACAGCTTCTGCATGAGCTAGAAGCTGGTGATGTGCAACTATATAAGGTTCGGTTCCTGAATCTCCTCCAAATTCACAGTCAGTGCACCGCCCTGGTGGATATGATCCATCTCCATAACCTTTGCTTGCAAGTGAGTAAGGCTGGTTTAAAGTGATCCAAAATTTGACTCTATCTCCGAATCTTTGGAATAAAAGTTCTGCGTAGTTTTTGTAGTCTTCGCTGTTCATGTATCATAAATATTAGATATAGATAGATCAGATGATGTACATGTATAACCTTATTAAGGAAAAGAAGACACAAGTTTAAATTTGTTTTTGTTACTGTACTTACACTATACGTGGGCTTAAGAAGCCTCCGTATTCGTCTTCTAGAGTTTGGGGAACATCCCAGTGAAATATAGTCACATACGGTTCTATGCCTGTATTCACGTAAGTTAATTGTCTGTACACGTAAAAATGATTAGAATCATATGGTTAAGTATCTAAATTAATTAGAAATTTACCATTTGCCTTTAACTCGTTAATGAGATTGTTGTAGTATGTTATACCATTCTCGTCGATTCCTCCGGTCAGTCTCCCCTCTAAAAGTAGCATATAATCACAAGTTTGAGTAATAGAATATTGTATGATTTTACGAATTTTTTTGCCAACAAGATCAAGTCATCATGAAGAAAAAAGGAGATTATTAATTAAGTATGTTTTCTTTTTTCTTATGCATTTACTTGGTAAGACCCTTGACCATGCTATGGAGAGTCGGTATGCTTGAGCATTCATTCTTTTCAGTAATTTGACATCCTCCTGTTAAAGTCGTATACGAAAGTTTCCGAGTTAAACTACATTTCGAAAATGTAACCAAAAAACATATATTACACACACAATAGATTCATCATCGAAAGCCTCTCACCTTGTAAAGATCATACGAATCACAAGCAAGGTCTCCAGAACTACCATCTGGGACTTTTTCTGTACATAGTAGATCAGGAATATATATGAGCATGACCAGTTATTTTTTTCTAATATTTGTACACTTTCTCATACATGGAAGGGCATGTAATTAATTAATTAATATATAATACGGATAATTAATGACCTGGATATCGATGAGTGAAATAGTCCCATCCATTGAGTGCTCTATGTGCAGCACCCTCAATCTGGTAGAATAAACAAAATCATATTAGAAATTTTTATGAAAGTGAGCCGGCATAGCTAGAAATCGATGGCCAAAAGCCATATATGATTATGGCAGAGATATATATATATATATATATATATATATATATATACCTGGTATGCAGAAGTAGCCGCACCAAAAGTGAAATTCTTTGGGAATCCAGATCGGTTGAATGTACGAATATTGTCACAGTTGAAAGGTTCTTTAGCCTTACATCCTGGATTGCAGACATTTTGGCAACTCGAAACGACAAAGAGAATGACAAGGACGGCTAATGAGTAGTGAGCTTTTGGAATGGCCATGGTTGAGAGATTTGTATTTTGTTTTCTTCTATAGTTTCTAGATTTTGTTTTGCTTTCGTTGATAGATGGGTGATGATGAAATGATGAACTTGGAGGGGTTTATATACAAAGGTTTGAGTGCATGGGAATTGTACATGGAAATTCACGTAAACTCGTTACGTACATTTGCATTCAATTTGATTCTCAATGCATGTTCTCCACCTCGCTGTCTATTTGTTTTGCTAAATAATTTAATAATGACATCTCTATTCAAGAACTGAATTATTCCTAATAAACAAATTAGACACTAGCTTGGAGGCATCAGGCATGCATCATATTTCTCTTACGTATACAGAGCTTCACACGAAATATACCTGTACATGTCTGCGTGAGAATATATGTTCCTCTATTATATTTTAATATGTTATAGATGCATATATTATCAAACCCGGTTAGCTTACGTTCTATATATTCAAATAATTTATTATATTACTCGTGAACGCAGCAACCTTCTTGCCATAAGCAAAATATGACTTGCCCCATTGTTTTTTTTTTTTTTTTTCCACGACTTGCCCCATTGTTATAAGTGTCAAATATAAAACTTCAAATCCTATTTTTATTAGTTGTGATAAACTATTATAATGGCGTCTACATAATATTCTGGTATTGAAAATATTATTTGTATACAAACTAGAGGTTGATAAAACTCAACAAAAGTTACCAGTTACGTACAATTCGATTGATAAGAGTATTTATTTATGGTTGGAAGTTTTAGTTCGGTGTCACCTCTCATTTAGCTTACATTCTTTCAATATAAGATATTATCT